GGGGGGGGGGGGGAGGTTGTTGCTTTCCAAAAAATTTTTTGGCAGAGCACCCCCCTACCAGACCATGCTGGATCCATCCCTGATTGCTACAGGTCTGTTGCAGGTTTGTTGCAAATTGTGCGTTTTCGTGTGTGTACTACATATGCTAATTTAATTAAAACGCGCAAGTTTTTACAGCTCTGCAGTGAAGTTGTAACAAGGTTGTTGTCAAGCCGATGTCGGGATTGTGTTCGCACTGCTGGTTCTCAGTTGTTGTGACAAGTCTGGAACAAGTTGTTATCGATATCATCTGGTTACAAGGTTGATGACGGTAACACACTTGCTACAAATTGTTCCAACAAGAGCCGTAGTTTTATGTTGTTACGAACTTCTGTAATTTAACCTTTTGCTTACAAGAAAGTTCATTGTTAAAATAATATAATAAATTATATAACAAGTTCCTATACGTGCTTGTTATCAACAACGTGTTACGCGCAGACGATTTCAGACTTGTTGGAACAACTTGTTACGAGTCTGTTGGCCTCGTCAACCTTGTTAGAAGATGATAATAACTTGTGCCAGACTTGTCATCATCCTGGGAACAAGCAGTGCGAACACATCTTGATCTTGTTCACGTACTGTGAGATTTTTACGACTGTACTGTACTGTTTAAAAAACGAGCAGGAGTGTTTTATTAGGTTTAAAGCCACGAGCGCGCAGCGCGAGTGGCTTTAGACCTAATAAAACACGACCTCCGAGTTTTTTAAATGACTTCAAAAACATTTGCATATTAAGTCAAATCTTTATATAAAAATCTTTATATAAAAATCTTTATATAAAAATCTTTATATAAAAATCTTTTATAGTTTGCATAACAATGTCTTTTGTTAAAGTGTTCTTTAGCTGGTATACAGACGTATGCACGTGACTAATTTCTTACTCAAGATTGGATAATTGCTTCATGAATTATTAATGAGTTTTTGAATGCACTGTACTGTACTGTACTGTACAAGACAGTGTATATTGATCACCTGAAGTATGTTCTCATCAGAGAGGCTTGCAATTCCCCTTGCTCTCTCAGATGGGTAATAAACATGAAATGGTTTGACTGTTACTTCTTGAGTCCGGGAACTATACACTTGTACAACTTCCTAACGTCAAAGGAAACAAGATTATAGTTGTACAACTTCCTAACGTCAAAGGAAACAAGATTATAGTAAGATTTGGGAGCAAGCTTTTCGCAATGGGGCTGCTCGTGGAAACGCTTGTATCCATCTCTCGCGAAGCGCCGTGCGAGGGTACTAATTTCGCACGGCTAATTATACCCGGGTATGCGAAAACATAGCGAAGTGCAAACGGTTTTCGACGTTGCATGCGCGAGTACAAGCTCTGTCTCTAAGTAATTGTTTTTCATTTTGAAAGGACATATTTTGCTGTTTTACAGTATTTTTTTGTTTTAAATTTCGTTAAAAAGTATACAAATTACAAAACTTTTTTTCTTCGATTTGAACTGGAAATAAGCCTGCAGTTTCTTGAATTAGTGGCTGTTCAACCGTGAAACAAAGTTAGTATTAAATAATTGCTTTGATGTTGATATTTTTAATAATTTAAATCGTTGTTTTGCCGGTTTGGATAAGTGTAAAACAGAAAATTAAAAAGCACCCATGCCAATAACACCTAACTACATTTTCACCTTAACATGGCCGCGGTTAGGCATAGGCTATACTTAATCGAATGGATTACCTTTTGTTCGCTATACAATGCAACGTGACGTAATATTTCATCTGGTATTTGACAATTAAACTGGTGTACGGGTACTACTTCGCCACTTGACACTACAACACCTAGAAATACATGTCATAGTTAAAAAAACAGGGCTCAATTGTATAAAACTCGTATACATACACACGTAAAAAATCTCACACCTGTCAACAAGATGTGTTCGCAACAGGCTTGTAGCAAGCTTTTCAACAAGTTGTAAAATTGTTGCGATAACATTTTGCGTGACATAAAACTGACTTTTGAAACAAAGGTTATTTTCGAGTAGGGCGCATCATAAAGAAAACGGGTGTAACTTTAAATTGTGGTTGGTTTGTTGGTTGGTTAACGTTTGCATGAACAATAGTAAACCTTAACTACGTGTTCATACACGACTTTTCAGAAGAACGTCTACAATGACCAAACAAAGTGTTGAAATTTCTCACTGTACTTTGACATTTGAAGAAATTATTAGAGACGTACTTATTAACGAGGTTTCTGTATTAGAGAGATATTGCGTATTAGAGAGGTCTGTATTAGAGAGAGATGCGTATTAGAGAGGGTCCGTATTATAGAGGTCTGTATTAGAGAGATATGCGTATTAGAGAGGTGTCTGTATTAGAGAGATGTCAATATCAGAGAGGTCTGTATTAGAGAGATACGCGTATTAGAGAGATGTGCGTATTGGAGAGATATGCGTATTAGAGAGGCTTCCAAATTAGAGAGATGTCAATATTAGAGAGACATGCGTATTAGAGAGGTTTCCAAATTAGAGAGATGTCAATATTAGAGAGATGTCAATATTAGAGAGGTCAGTATTAGAGAGGTCTGTATTAGAGAGAGATGCATATTAGAGAGGTGTCCAAATTAGAGAGATGTCAGTATTAGAGAGGTCTGTATTAGAGAGATCTGTATTAGAGAGATATGCGTATTAGAGAGGTGCTTGTGTAAGAGCGGTTTCCAAATTAGAGAGAAGTCAATATTAGAGAGGTCTGTATTAGAGAGAGATGCGTATTAGAGAGATGTGCGTATTAGAGAGGTGTCCAAATTAAAGAGATGACAATATTAGAGAATCTGTATTAGAGAGATATGCGTATTAGAGAGGTGTCCAAATTAGAGAGATGACAATATTAGAGAATCTGTATTAGAGAGATATGCGTATTAGAGAGGTGTCCAAATTAGAGAGATGTCAATATTAGTGAGGTCTGTATTAGAGAGATGTGCGTATTAGAGAGGTGCCTGTGTAAGAGAGGTTTCCAAATTAGAGAGATGTCTGTATTGGAGAGATATGCGTAGTAGAGAGATATGCGTATTAGAGAGGTGTACATATTAGAGAGGTGCCTGTGTAAGAGAGGTGTCCATATTAGAGAGGTGTCTGTATCAGAGAGGTGTCCGTAATAGAGAAGTGCGGCGTTAGAAAGGCGTCCGTATTAGAGAGGTGTCCGTATTAGAAATGTGTCCGTACTAGAAAGGTGCCGTATTGGAGGGGTGCCCGTAACGGAGAGGTGTCTGTCTTAGAGAGGTGCCCGTACTGGAGGGCTGTCCGTATTGGAGAGGTGTCCGTATTGGAGAGGTGCTCGTATTAGAGGGGTGTCTGTATCACAGGTGCCCGTATTAGAGAGATGTCCGTAATGGATAGGTTTAATTGTTCCTTCTGTGATATAATCTCGTGTGCATTGTAGGTGGTAGCTGTGTCTCTCCCAATCCACAGCAATCTTAATTGTTCCTTACCTATCCCATATATACTCGGTACATGTTTTCCATTGAGCATCGTATCATTTAATTCTAGGTAAATAGAAAAGTAATTATTTATATTGGGTTTTTTAATTTATTGTTTCAAAATATCACAGCACTTACGACAAACACAAGCACACAATAGGTCAATGTCCACTGCCAGTTTGTAAGCTCCGCCTAAAAATACAATAGACAAAACAGTATTGACAATAAATCTCCGGAATGCAGTGCTGTGAGTAACTTCGTCAAGGCCTATTTAGACTACACAACTTTAGCCTAGAACTGGCTCATGTAATTTGCTTACAACCTGAGTTGTACTGTGTAAATCGAGCACACAACTCACTTACGACAACGTAAGCTGATTGACAGCGGCAAAAATAGTGCAGCCAATCATCAATTCCAGTCCACTGATGGACATAATATTTCAAATCGACTATGAGGACTGGACTAGATTTCAAGTCCGCGCAATTTGATCACGCCCGAGGCGAAGCCGAGCACTGGATCAAAAATGGGAGGACTTGAAATCTAGTCCAGTCCGAGTTGGATGATTTGAAATGACATCTCATGCGAATAAATGACTACTTAAAGTGAGGTGAAATTATTTTGATCCAGTCTAAGGACAGAATTAATTTTGGTCCTAGGACTAGATCAATATACTTCACCAGGTATCCAGTATTATCATGTTAGCAAAATAAAGCAACATGGTTGGCTAATTTATCATGAATTATTAATGAGTTTGAGATGGGTAATTCAAATACAAAACCAAACCAATGAGCCAAACCCGGCAGACGGTCTTTCGCCTCATCCTGGCAAATGTGATCGAATGAATGACATGCAAAAGACTTCGAATTGTTTACTTCTGAAAAGCGACTCTATACTTTTGTGCGCGAGTTCACTCATTTGCATCCGTCAGAAACACAAAATCGCCGACAGTATTTTCAACTGCGCTAGTATGAACCAGGCTTTTAAGGTCTCTAATATAACGAATATACTTACGTAAAATTTGCATGAATACATCCTCTGAAATGTTACGACTGTCCAAGAAACCACCGACAATGTACATCTCGATTCTGTACAGAAATAATATCGCATAAATTTCAGGCCCTCGTTACATTTTTCACAGAAGTGGAAAACATTGGTAACATTACTGAGAGGAATTTCAGATTCAAATTTAATTTAAGCAAAATTGCTTCAAAACAGTTCTCAATTTCAATTCACGTGAATAGGTGTAGGTCACTGAGCTGTATCTTTTAAAAAAGGGCAACCTGTTCCCCCCGTTCTGTTTGGACAACGGGAAAAGCTGCGTATCCCCCCTGGCAGACACAGTTTTATTTCTCTTCCTGGCAGCAAAATCCAAAAATAAAAACTTCCTGTGTGTAAGTGAAATATAAAACCAGTGGTGTCAAGTAACGAAGTAATTGTACTTTGTTACTATACTTAAGTACAATTTTTGAGAAGTGAGCATGTAACAAAGTAAACTTTTTCTGGAGTACTTTTACTTGGAACGAAGTCGTTTTAACAAGTAACGTTTTACTTCGTTATTTTCATTTTGTGGCGAAGTATTTCGTTACTTTCTAACTTTTGTTTAATTTTACTTTTGGGATTGGTAATACGACCTTTACATGCGTCTGGGATCTCTCGTTTGTGACTTACTTATAAGCATTATTTATTTAATGGATTTCTTATATCTTCAACTGGAAAGTAAACCATGCCGTGAAATATTGTATATTCGGTGCACGCATATAATGTGTGTGCTGTTTTGTGTCTTTTGTATGTCAATCCATTGGATATACTGAATCCATTGGATGTGCTGTTTTGTGTCTTTTGTATGTCAATCATCCCCCTCTACACGCTACAGACAATAGTACTTTTACTTTGTACTTCAAGTATTTTTTAAGGATACTTTGTACTTTTTACTTAAGTACGTTTTACTTCCAGTACGTTTTACTCTTACTCAAGTCGTTTTATTGTTAATTACTTCTACTTTTACTCGAGTACAAATTCAAAGTAATTTAGACACCACTGTATAAAACGTCCTGCATAGGTAGATTTCAGAGAACGGCGAGGTATGCCAAAAACAGGCGTCCTTTGTAGCCACAAACCGTGGCCATAAGGTATGCATACTGAAAACATGTGTACTTTATAGTGGCTATAAGGTATGCATACTGAAAACATGCGTACTTTATAGTGGCTATAAGGTATGTGGCTATAAGGTATGCATACTGAAAACATGTGTACTTTATAGTGGCTATAAGGTATGCATACTGAAAACATGCGTACTTTATAGTGGCCATAAGGTATGCATACTGAAAACATGCGTACTTTATAGTGGCTATAAGGTATGCATACTGAAAACATGCGTACTTTATACTGGCTATAAGGTATGCATACTGAAAACATGCGTACTTTATAGTTGCTATAAGGTATGCATACTGAAAACATGCGTACTTTATACTGGCTATAAGGTATGCATACTGAAAACATGCGTACTTTATAGTTGCTATAAGGTATGCATACTGAAAACATGCGTACTTTATACTGGCTATAAGGTATGCATACTGAAAACATGCGTACTTTATAGTGGCCATAAGGTATGCATACTGAAAACATGCGTACTTTATAGTGGCTATAAGGTATGCATACTGAAAACATGTGTACTTTATAGTGGCCATAAGGTATGCATACTAAAAACATGCGTACTTTATAGTGGCTATAAGGTATGCATACTGAAAACATGCGTACTTTATAGTGGCTATAAGGTATGCATACTGAAAACATGTGTACTTTATAGTGGCTATAAGGTATGCATACTGAAAACATGCGTACTTTATTGCCACAAACCGTGGCTATAAGGTATGCACAAAACGGGCGTACTTTGCAGGCACAAAGCATGGCTATATATATTTTATACCTGTGTTCCCCGTGATTTTGCGCATGCTCTTTAAGGGTTTCAACCATTGCTGCCAACGCTTTGGGAATCCCTGATCCATCAAAATGTGCCAGGCTACATGCGCCTGTACCTAAAAAAATGTTGAAGTACTGTGGAACAGGATACAACGTTATCAACCATTAAGCTGCAATGCGCCCTATACTTTATTATTTTACTCTGTCTATTGCCAGATTATTTACTCTGTCTAACACCAGATGATTTTCGTGTCAGTCTTGCGCTATAATGGGTTAACTGCTAGCCTGCGAAAAATTCAACCAGACCTTCCGGCAGGATCGAATCGCCCAAAATCTTGATATTTATACATATAAACAGCGCCTTACAGTTCGTACTACCCAGGGACGCCGGAACTGGGGGGCAGGGGGGGCGGCTGCCCCCTTGCCTTTTGCTAGGGGCAGAAGTGCCCTTTTAGTTGTAAAATAATACGTGATAAATCACATTTCCAACGATGCTTTTTGTAGGAAAATAACGAGATTCCTGTAATTTATAGTTTATATTTATAAAAATTTTGGGAAATTTTTGGAATTTAGGAAAATATTTTGAAGAAATGGCAAAAATTTAAGATATCCGGAAAAATTTTTGGAATCACGGAAAATTTTTGTATGTCCGGAAAAAATTTTTGACCCCTAAAATGGTACACTGACCGAAATTTTTTGTAAATTCAGTAAAGGTGCCCTTGGTGTTTGTCGGCCCCCCTTTGCCCTAATATCGTTCCGGCGTCCCTGGTACTACCGGACTTTATTTTCACCTTTATGTCGTAATACAACTATTTGGCATGTTGTGGCACTGTCTGAGCCAACCACGTCCACAAAATCTGCAGAGAAATATAATCTTGTCAACAATTAAGATGTGTTCGCTATTAGTGAGGCTTGCAGCAAGCTTGTCAACAATTGCAGGCTTTCTTGCCATCCTACTTTTTCCTACTTTTTTTCAATTTTCCTACTTTTCCTATTTTTTATTAAAAATTGCTTGATTTTCCTACTTTTTCTCATAAAATCCTACTTTGTTAAGACAGCTTGGGGAATCAGTATGTTATTGATCTCGTAATTAGATCTATAGGACTCGTAATTTTTATTCCCTATTTGTGTCCCAGATGATAAGATCTCAGGAAGAGAAGAAGTATATTTTCTGAGTATAAAAATCCGTAGCATCTCTGGAATCATAATCAATAAATTAATGAAGACTCTTAAAGTGCCATTTCCGACGATCTAAAGATTCAAAATATTCAACATCCCCCAGTTAATCAAGCATCATATGCATGCTCCTGCCGCACAGTGTCGATTGGTGTATGGTGCAGCCAAATACATGCACTCACACGCACAATGCATTTGAATTGTGTTGCTGATGCCTTAAGGAACTTTTAAACCGATTCAATTTAAACGTTTTGAGAAAAAAATACCTCATAGTCATAGATTTTGTGTTATTTGCATCTCCAAAAACTCCTACTATTGTCCTACTTTTCTTCACATTTTCCTACTTTATTCCTACTTTTCCTAAAATTCTAGTCCTACTTTCATCCAACTTTTTCTACACAAGGATGCCAGAAAGCCTGCAATTGTAACAACATTGTCATTTTATCAAGTTTAATTGTCACTCACAACTAGCCTGCGTCGCAGACGGTGGGTGAAACTTTGGAATGGTCCAAAGTTTCACCCACCGTCTGCGACGCAGGCTACTCACAACTTGTTAACAAGTTGTTGGAACAACATAATTTGTAACAAGTCTGACAACAACATTGTAACAAATTGCAGTGGTGTCAAGTAACGAAGTACTTCGTTACCGTACTTGAGTACTACTTTTGAGAAGTCAGAATGTAACAATTAAGTAAACTTTTTTCTGGAGTACTTTTACTTGGAACGAAGTCGTTTTAAGAAGTAACGTTATACTTCGTTATTTTCATCTTGTGGGGAAGTATTTCGTTACTTTCTCACATTTTGTTTAATTTTACGTGATTTATTCCGGATTTATTTTAATTTTGGGATAGGTAATAGGATCTCTCTACATGCGTCTGGGATCCCTAGTTTGTGGCTTACTTATAAGCATTATTTATTTAATGGATTTCTTATATCTTCAACAGGGTCTGGAAAGTAGACCATGCCGTGAATTATTGTACCTTAGGTGCTGAGTGATGCAACTGTGCTGTTTTGTGTCTTTCGTATGTCAATCCATTGGATACGTCCCCCCCCCCAACATGCTATAGACAATAGTACTTTTACTTTTTACTTCAAGCATTTTTTAAGACTCTTAAGTCTTTTCATTGTTAATTACTTGTACTTGTACTTGTACTCCGACCAGTACAATTTCAAAGTAATTTAGGCCCCACTGACAAATTGTCAACAATGACATTGAGAATATGTCAGCAAGCTGGGAACAAGCCATGTTTTCACACATCCTGGTAAGAAGATGATGATCGAGATGTCAATCGAAACATCAACATCAGGGAGCCATGCCAATTAGTGTGTTCTCAGTGCAACTCTACACAAAGGCCTGGGCAAGAGGCTGGGTCTTGCAGTACTCACTGTCATTTGGATAAACTGTTCCATATTCATGCTGTCCAATATAGAGAATATTTTTCTCTTGGAATGTTCTCTGTGCTTGGAATGCAAATTCCCTAGATCTTTTCTGAAAATAATAAGTGATAAATCTCTAAAGTAACTTTGGGCTAGGGGTACGGGATGCAAAGCCTCCAGAAGCTCTGACAGCCCTTCCCATGCATCTTTGTACCGAGTTACTCCACGGTGAACTGGGCGTGCACAAAAGCAGTAATTTGACTGAGCAAAAGGGCTGGGAGAAGCTAAATAGAAATCCACATCAAAATAACATAATATATCTGCCAATATGTATCCTGTTGATTACCCTTCAAGTGACAATGTGCTCCTGACAGAGCCGTAGCTGACTAAGACTGATAATTGGGGGGGGAGGGGTGTGTATATTCATGTATTTGTGTTCTGCCCAACGGATTTCTTTTGAAAGCGATTGTTTTTACAGTATGTGAACATGAATATACGAATATACCTCGCCCCCTCCCCCAAATTATCACATCTAGGCATCTAGCCACAGATCTGACTCCTGATGTGTCCTACTTTATTATTTTACTTTGTGCTCTCACCTGTCTAATGGCAGATGATTTTACTCATCAAGGGGAGAGTGCTGCCACTCAATGTGTTAACCAAACAATCTACCAATTCTCCCAATAAACCTGTGAGGGCTTGATAAAGGATTAATGACAAGTCAAGGTCTTGTTTATAATGGGTTGATATTTATTTTGGGATTTAGGATTATTAGTTTACTTTTTAAGTGTATATCTTTGATTAGAGGAAAAGGATACGGATTACTTTCGACATGTGGGGTCATTCTGACCCGCCGTCAGGGCCTCAAATTATTTTATGTTCCATACATGATGTACCTCTAATTCAGGAAAATTTTGTAACAATCCTGCCGACGATCTGATCTCGGTCCCAACGACTCGTTTACCAACATACAAAGGCATTATGACAAATTTAATACAAACGATTGAATAACTCGAATTTATTTCCAAAATAACTTACGTATTTACAGTATATATTTATAATTACAACATTTTCAAAATCAAAACAAAGTAGACTTTCGATTTCTTAAAATACATCTGTCAAAAGTCGAAAACCCATTTATGGAATACTCTAATTTCCATACGAAAATTGCTTTGAATAAGCCATTATTTTGTACAAAAACGACAAAAACGTCTCTTTTATATAAATATTCATGGTTTATTTATTGAAACAGTAAGAATGATATCAATAGTTTCTTCTTTTTCAAATTAAATGATGGAATATAGACGAATATATTACGAAATCCGACCGAGACTTTCCCGATTTCTTACCGAATTCTCACGTGTGAGTGTGTGTGAGTGTGCTAGTAAAAATGTAAAACATATAAGCATGTTTATGTTCAAACCAAAGAAATATTTTTACGCTTAGTAGTTAAAACTTCGCACAAAAATGGTCGTCTTTTCATCATACAGATATTCAGGCTTTTAAAAAATGGCTATAGCAAGTTCAAAAGTCATTCAGCGTATAGATGTACACCACAAGGCGTCTAATATTGATGGCATCTCATGGTCCAAGGATAACAGACTTGCAGTTGTCACGAACTCATTTGTATCGATCATTGTATCCTTTTGGTAACCTTTCTAGGGGCTGTTCATAGGGCCATAGAAGCGAGCGGCTGGGCGTGCCCCATAAATTGGTAAACTAGTGATAATTCTGTAAAGTTTAAAGGCGGTTTTCCACTCCTCGCAGCTCACTGTGAGTGCTTGCATCTAATTAAAATTAACTGTAAAAGCATTGTGATTGGATGAAAGTGGTCATGCATGCACTCACAGCTCGCTGCGAGGAGCTTCGTGTGTGGACTGGAAATCCGCCTTAAGAGGGTTAGCACTATTTTCCATCCAGCAAACTGACCTGACGTCATTTTCGGAAGATGGAAGAGGTGTTAAATGGCCATGTAACTAACTCAAACCCTACCCTAACTGCAACTCTAACCCTAACCGAATAAATAAAAAAGTCCAAAAAGAAACGACTTTAAAAAATCGATAGGGCAGTTTGCTGGATGGAAAATAGTGCTAAATGTTTGAGAGGGTCAGAGGGAAATAATGACCTAATAATCACCCCTGACTCCCCCCCCCCCAATACAAAATTGCTTCCTTTGGTAGTGGTTCATATGAGCTATACCAGTTTGTTAAACCGTGGTGCAGAGAACCTGCCTTATATATTTTATAACCCATTGAGCACCTGAGCACTCTTAACCTCGTTCCCAGCCTGGGAATGAGGTTGGAGCACTCTCTGCAATACAACTTAATGGTTAACTCGATACATGGGCAGATAGTTAGATTAACCCATTGATTGTCTGGTGTTAGACAGAGTAAAATACTAATGTAGGCCGGGTGCATCGGGGTGCCTTGCCACTTAAATTAAAGGATTTATAACAAGCAAAAATTTCTGGTGTTAAACAGATTACGTAAAATAATAGGGTGCAATATGCAACTTAGGGGCTATATAATTTATTATTTGTATGAAAGCTGGGCTATCCCGCTTAGCAAGACAGCGTGCTGGTAAGCATTATCTCCTTGTTTATTTTATATTTAAAATTACTGTGTGTTTATATGGACAAGCGGGATGGCCCGGTTGCCGAGATCTCGCTTGAAAGAGGCGAGACCTCGCTTACCGGAATGCAAATTTCTTAATATATATTAAACACTCACAAGTGGGCTGGTCTGGTTGCCAGGATGAAAGTTCAAATGGTGCCGCCTCAAGTATTTTTAACAATTCGTGTCATGAAAATAGAGCGTTTGCACTCATTCCTCAGGGACCAACGCAACAAAAGCCATGGCGGCCATGTTGCCACCCGTCGGGGTGTCTCACTAAGCAGGCCAATGGCCTCTTAGCAGCCTCATAACATGGGTTGCATAAGCAGCCTCTTAATATGGGTTAATTAAATTAGACACATGGCCAGATAGTCTGATAGCCCGGACAGCTAGTAGAGAACATCAGGACTCAATGATTGGCATATGAAGTTTGATTTGTATATATAAGGCAATTAGGGACCGGTCATAAAGTATTTACTAGGGGGTGTGGAAGATATTTTTGGGGGGTATGAAAAAAAACCCAGAACCTCTGAGTGGGGTACGAAAAAAACCCCAGAACCTCTAGGGGGTTACCAAAATCTTAATACTATAGGTACGGAAAAACATTACATTTTATAATTATTGTTGAATATTGAATGTATTTGTGCCCAGATTTAAGTTCATTTATTTAAAACTACTATAATTATTATTAAATCCACACAAAGTATATAATATGTTTCAGTCTGACTCAATGTCAAATGATAAGTAGGATTCAGTATACATGGAACTTTTGGAATACAAATCTGATACATCTGAATTGTCAATGACAATGCTAGTAGTAGAACCTGTTAATGATTGAAGGGGGTGGGGGTATGAAAATTTTCACTTACATTGAAAGGGGGTTACGAAAAATTTTCCATAGGTTTTTGGGAGGGTATCGAAATATGTACTTGAAAGTTCATTTATCCTCCACCCCCCTCTAGTTAAATTACTTTATGACCGGTCCCTTATTTACTTGACGTAAAATTAACAGAACATTACCGGTGTACACGCTGACGAAAAGAAAAAAGAATCAAGATTGCAAATCAAAAGAAGTGCCATTGCGGTGGACCACAAACCAGAAAAAATTGACATAGATTCAGATTTCTCTTTGTGGAGGTTGGAACCACTGAGTGTCGCCCCTTATTATTCCACAGCAATAATTGACCCTGCCCTATCGCCCACGATTATGAAGCAAGTTTGTTATGAAGATGTGACGTGTGCAAAGTGGTCTCCTGTCGATTGCGATAGAACTGGAAGGTATATCCTGCCGATACATATTATTACCCAAACCTCGAGAATTTCCTCTTGCGTGAGAAAATGTGCCGTGCGTACGTGTTTTCATGACAAAACATTTCAGGAATGTGACTACATAATCCTACACCTTAAAAACTGCTAAAATGTCACAAATATTACAGGGTTTGAAATAACGAAAGTTTTTGTTCATGATTCATGGTGATTGGCAGTCATATACATTAGTAGACAATACATTGTGCAGATTAAATTTTATGATAAAAGCCCCGTTTACACTACGCTCAATTTTTGGTACGGCACAGATAAAATTGGTACCCGTACCACTTTTTTGGTTCTTGGACCACCTATTTAGCTTAGCCCCGTTTACACTACGCTCAATTTTTGGTACCGTACCACTTTTTGGTTCTTAGACTACCTAAATAGGTAGTTCCAACCTCGTACCCCGGGACTTTCCTCTTGGGGAGCAAAGACCCTGGTAGACGCTGGTCACGTGATCTGCTAAAATCTGGCAGATTTTTAATTAGCAATCCAAGATCGGGTCAATAAACATTTGATATTTGGATTATTTTGATAGTTTAATTTATAATTTGCATTTTGTATGATTGTCGTAAAGAAAACCAAGATAGTTAATTAAAAATCTGCTAGATTTTAGCAGATCACGTGACCAGCGTCTACCAGGGTCTTTGCTCCCCAAGAGGAAAGACCCTGGTTACGAGGTTGATGTAGTCCAAGAACTAAAAAAGTGGTACGGGTACCAATTTTGTCCGTGCCGTGCCGTGCCAAAACTTGAACGTAGTGTAAATGGGGCTAAAGTTAGGTGCATCAGGATACATTGCCACGTAAGCCCCGTTTACACTACGCTCAATTTTTGGTACGGCACGGATAAAATTGGTACCCGTACCACTTTTTTTGGTACTTGGACTAGCTATTTTGCTAAGCCCCGTTTACACTACGCTCAATTTTTGGTACCGTACCACTTTTTGGTTCTTGGACTACCTAAATAGGTAATCCAAGAACCAAAAAAGTGGTACGGGTACCAATTTTATCTGATTCTGTGCCATACCAAAAATTGAGCGTAGTGTAAACAGGGCTTAAGACTATAATGTTCACACTACAGCTGAGCAAAATAATGCAGAATTAATGTATGTTCACATTTGTGCTGTTATACGGTTTCTTTACAAATTAATTTACCACTCATACAGTATTAAACAGGGTTCGTACGGGTCCTGGAAAACCTGGAAAGTCATGGAATTTCAATATTCCAAAATCCAGGCCTGGAAATCCTGGAAAATCAATTTTAGTCATGGAAAGTCATGGAAAATTGAAATTTTACATAACATTAACAAAGTATTTTACTTATTTCAATTTACCAGCCATAACAATAATATGAATTGTTATTGTTATATAACGGATTTTTGCAAGAGCGAAGTGAATTTTGTTCTTTTATTATATCTGTTATCATTAAAATATTAACGAATTTCAGAAATTCCAGACTTCCAGGTCATGGATTTTGAAAAAAATGGTCACATGGGAAGTCATGGAAAAGTCATGGAATTTTAAAAGGGAGAAGGCCGGTGTACGAACCCTGATTAAAAAACGCAAAAGATTTCAAATCGAGCAAAGGCATTTAAACGAAAATCATTCAAATTTACCATTTTGAGACCTGAGATGCTTGGTTTGCAATCGGTAGAAAAAAGTAATGGCATTTTTGTTTATACAAAGCCACCAAGCACTCTGTTAAGAAACCGTCATGCTGAAATCGTTGCGGCAAAAGGGCCGTTTTCAAACCAGTGCTAGTCTTAAAGTTTTAGGTTTTTATTTAGATCAGTTTTGGCTCTTCTTTTCCGAACGAATAAACTATTGTTATACATTGCGGACAAACGCTCGCTTCACGGATGGTGTGAAATTTTAGACCTGAGCGCAAAACATGCTGATGAGATGGAAAAAGGAAATTACTTTAAAGGTAAGGTTTATAAAGGTCTGGAAATATTGTTTTCTTGCTAAGCTTTCCAGACGTCATGGGCAACCTAGAAAGTGTTGTTTCGCAGCCATATTTTCCAAAGATGGGCCAGCTTTCGGCCAACATGGCAGCATTATTTCGTAGCTATTTTTCATGGCGATACTTCGAAGCACTTTTTTCGTAGCCATGTTTTCAAAAGGTAAACAAACCAAGAAACGTTTGGTTTCCTAATTATATAGCCATAA